GAACAAACACTCTCCTTATGGGACAAAGGGCTCTAAGATTCCTTCCTCCCCCCCCCAACGCTTGCTGAGATGCAACCGAGGTAGAGGATTCTGTAACTGTGTGGAAGCCCGGACACGCATGAAGGGTTATCTACACCACGCACTGCAGCTATTCACAGAGCTCCATAATGGAAACGATCAGTAAATACGCTGCATCGGAAACTGCGGTGCTGCTCCGCCCAACGTCTAACGAAACAAAAGGGACGTTATGAGATTAGGGCACGATTTGGGGGGCTGGGGTGGAGTAAACGCAGCCGCCGCTCTTCACGCCTGCGGACCGCGGCTTACAAGCAAGCGCTCGGTTTGTGGGAAACTTCAGACGTGGCAAAAGGTCAGGCGTGTGAGCGAATAAGACTGCAGGAATAACAGGGAGATGCTGACATCAAGACTGAGCATGTCTGGTATCCAGGCTGACACCTGAACCCCGAGATCAGGGATCAACAGGGGAACACGAACACAAAAACAAACAGCTACTGGTGGAATGGAACAGAAACACTTCATTCATCTGGTTTTTTGCACATGCAATCTCTCCATGAGAGACACAGATACACACAGATCTAGAGGTGAGAGAAAGTTTGGGGACTGAAGCCCAAGGACAGTCAGTGTTCCTGGAGCGGCAGGGATTAAGGGTCTTGCTCAAGGGCCCAACGGCATTATGACTATCAACCACGGGATTTGAACCCACGACTTTATAGACACAGATCCCTAATGCTGAGCTACTCACCGCCCATAATTAAGTTTTCAAACAACAACCATGCCTTGGTTGAAGCCCGGGGCCACGATACTGCCACAACGTAGAAGAACAGAGCCCGTTACAGTCATTAGGATACTCTATTACTCTTTGGGGCATTATTATTAGTAGTACTATGATTATTTTAATTATCTAGATATTAAATATTACCTCATCACTATTAGTATGCTGCTGTTGTCTGACATTTTTCTGTCATCACCTATGGCTTGGCAAGAAACAGGCACTCAACCGGCAAAGGCTAACCCCACCGGCCCGCCGGGCCATCGACTGCGCATCACTGTCCCCAGCTCTTCAGCACCCCCTACAGGATGGGCTCCGTTTTTTTTGTTTTGTTTTTTAAAGGTAAAAACCACAATCCGGCAAAAAAAAAAAAAAAACTGCTACGAAAGTAGTTTGGGATCTACAAGGTAAAAACAGTTACAGGACTGATACTCCTGGTCCATTACTGCCCAGTTATATTTTGATAGATGTTATTTTTATAGATATATGGCATATATCACGTACCATATACACGTGCCATTAAGCTGGAGCATCTCTACTTACACACAACCCATTTTCATCACCAGGCCATCAAATGAAATAGCAGTGCCGGCCGGTGTCAAACAGGTCGTTACGCCACCCCCACCCCCCACCCCCCAGACCTGCTGCGTGACACAATGCCAGGCCAATTAGCGAGTTCCATTTCATCCATTACCAATAAATTACCAATAATAGTCATAAATTTTTTTCTTTTTTTACTGTGGGGGTTTAGGGTTTTTTGACCAGAGTGGGGGGGGGGGGGGGGATGTGGGAAGTAAAATGCTGATACACACAGTCAGCGCAGCGGACGCCATGTTACCATCAACAAGCTTTCCACCAGCACCAGAGCCTTATCTAGACTGGGAAAAGGCTTTGAGAAACAGGCAAGGGGCTTTCAAAAGTGAATGTCATATAAAATGAATGTGTAACATATGTGATCAACACATGCAAACGTAATCAGTGCTGTAATAAGCATAATCATTTTAATTATATTATATTATATTATATATATATATATATATATATATATATATATATATATATATATATATACACACACACACACACACACACACTATGTACAAAATACCCAAGATTCCAGTTGTTTAGAATGATCGCTAGATTGATTTGTGAAAGTCTAGCTACAATAACGTCACACAAACGCAATGCGAAAATTTGCAATGTTTATAACTTCAAAACAAATATATATAGCAGAGACATCCTGAAGTCGCACCGCTGTACAGTAAAAACGCCTGGCGATGGGAAATTCCACTTCCTGCAGTGCGGATGCAATCAGAAAAAAATGGAAACGTAAAAACCAAAACAAGGCGGCATGTCGAGATCCTGGTGGGGGCACCAATTGAGTCGTCACACGGCATCATGCAGGAAGATCAAAGAGGAGTTTTCGGGATGGGGGGGGGGGGGTGACACTATGGAGATCAAGGTGACCAGCAGGAGGACCCCCCGGAAAACACCACCTCTGTTCTGCAAGCTCCACAGGCCCAGGGAGCACTGAGCAGGAGGAGAGGAGCAAGTAAAGGCAAGGTGTGAAGGGAGAACCGCCAAAAGAGGAGCGTCGTAAAGGGGCGGTAGGGAGGGAACCTCAACAGGAGAGAAGCACGGTAAAGGGGAGGTGGGGAGGGAGCACCACTAGGAGGTGATCGCAGTGAAGGAGAGATGGGGAGGGACCACAACCAGGAGAGGAGCACGGTAAAGGAGAGGTAGAGAGGGATCTCCAACAGGAAGAGAGAGATTGCAGGTGAGTTTCGATCCCTCACACACACACAGACACACACAGACACGCATAGACAGACAGACACATACACACACGCATAGACAGACAGACAGACAGACATACTTTTAAAGATGCACAAAAACTGAAGCTAATCCCAGCAGAAGGACTCAGGGTGCCCACAATAGTACAATATTCCACAGTGAATTAGCACTGGTTCAGACCCGAATTGGGAGACGAGTCAGGACCCTCCCAGTCACCCCCGCACCAAGTACACTCTGACTTAGGGTAAGGGGACACGTCACTCACTCCCCCGTCATGACAGAGGCTCCGGCAAGAAAAGAAAAAGGTCACACTGGGGGACAAACATAAAAAATCCATACGTCACCCTGCCGATGCGTTTCTCCTGAGAATCACAAAGTGGTATCTGAAGGGGGGGGGGGGGGGGCTGGCATTCAAGTAAAACCAAAAAAAAAAAGAAATACTCCTTTAAAGAGTCGCCCTGAGAGGGTGAACAAAACTTTGTGCCCAGAAGTGGAATTTGTTACTTTCTGTGTGGAGGGGGGGCTGGGGGGGGATGTGCTGGCAGCCTCGCTACGAATCCAAACCACAACCTTTAAAGATCAGACGGGAAACACCAGCGGCAGCGGCAATCGCACCGCACAGAACGCCACGCCGGCACTGCGCCGGTTGCCGTCAAGCGGCGCGGGCAGAACGCAGAACCGCCGAGGCTTTAATTGGCCTCCTCGCCCTGCAGCGACTCCGCCCATTTTTTTTTCCCCTATCCGTGACTCACAAAAGTATTCCTGGCAACTTGCAAACAAATATATTGAAAAGTATACATATTATCTATTTATTGCTAGGAAGCGCATGGAAAGCTCACGATCTATCTAGGCCCTAATGAGCAGCGCAATCCCAGAACCTGATTCACCATTTCCTGAAGGTTCTGTTACGATCCTCAGCTCCACCCGAACGTCACACACTCGCCGACTCGCCTCAGATAATGACTTAACCACACGGTGCACCACGCCTGTCCCTGGGGGCTGCCAGCTCCGCCCTGATCTGCATGGGAACGGCAGTGCCGCATGCCTACGGCGACACGCAGAGCCGCGAGAGGCGCCGCTCGGCCCGATAAGGAGGGGAACCGGAATCTCCCTGGCGGGGGGAAGGTCACCTTCAGCGGGTATCTCCATGAAGCCGGGAGCGAGGAACTGAGGACAACTGAACGGGATATAAACCAGGCCTTTATTGCATTGCATCTTCAAAAAAAATAATATATACGATTTGGTTTCAAAACCAAATAAAAAAAAAAAATATAATTCAAAAAGGTTAAATATTCTAAAAATTTAAATTCAGGCCTTCACAATAAGATCATAAATCCTTGTCATAATGGTTCCTGCTTCCTGCCCTGAATTAAAAATTCCCAATCAAAGAGAATGGAAATGCCCCCCCCCCCCTTTCAAAACCAATTACTGTCACGCCTATATAGTAACACCCCCCCCCACCCACACCGGTGATGGTGACATAGGGGAGCTGTCCCGTTAAATTCCTGCCGGACCGCCCGTAGCATTTCGATGATGACACACAAGATATCATGTCTGAAGAGTACCTGCCCCTTGCCCCGCCCCTTGCCCCGCCCCCCAGTTTGCATCATGGCGCAATACAGAGAACAGTCCCTCCCTGCAGGAGACACGCTTTCGCCTGAGGTGACAGGCCACAGATAACAAAATGTTCTCTAAACGCATAAGCAACTGCAGGGTGGACGAGTCTGACGACCAGGATTAACTCCGATGATGCAATCCTGCATGACCATCAACATCATCTCCCGAAATCACGCGCGCGGCCACGCCAAAAATAAACCGGCCGCACCACCGTCGCAGGCCTGCCCGCTTAACGTCTTACGGATCAGAGCCACTTACGGGAAACGCCTGAGCTACAGACAGCCCCACGCGGGAGGAGGTTGCGTGACATCACCGGAGAGCCCTCTGGGGGGAGATGGATGGTAGCGGCAGCTAGTAGCCAGCCCGAGCATCACGCCACACGGCAGCGGAGGCGGGGCTTAACCTGAATCAAAAGCGGCGGGTGATTCATGGGGTGCTGAGATGCTTCAGCGCTGAGCTAACAGCGGCTGTCACAGGAGGCACGCAGGCATTCAAGGCACTGGAGACGCGGCCTGAACTGGGCGGCCCACACAGGCCGGAACCGGCCGCAGGAGAGATCCTGAGAAAAGCTCTGCCCCCCCCAGCAAAGGTCCAGGCTGCATTTTTATTGCGGCTAAATACCCCTGATTTGGCATGACTTTCTGGAAAACGGGCTGCTCCTGGATTTTAAAACTGTCCAAATTACCCTTTGATATGAAACCATTATGTAAACTCGCAGCTCTTTTGGGGGGGGGGGGGGGGATGAGACGAAACGAGAGAGGAGGTGGGGGCTGGAGGAGTGGACCCCCAGGCGCCTTACCCGTAAAAGCGATGATGGCTCCTCTTTGCTGGCCTTGCTGTCAGTAGAGTACTGCGGCGGCAGCTGGCCAACCTTCTCCACGCCGCTCGCGTGCGCCCCCGGCAGGAAGCCCTTGGCGTCCGCACCCAGGCCGAACACCAGGCCGGGGGAATCCCTAAGCACGGTGGTAGTCTGCTGGTGCTGCTCCTGTGAGACGGGGTTGAGCAGGCTGAGGGTCCCCTGGCTGTACTGCGATGGGCTGGCCCTCAGGATATCGGCAGTGCGCTCTTTGGGGACCCACAGCAGGCCTCGGGTCGGCTCCCCGCCGCCCCCCGCCGACTCCCCCCAGCCCTTCTCCCTGAGCGCCTCCTTCTCGTCGGGCATCTCCCTCTTCACGCCCTCCGGCCCAGCCCCCACCTCAGCCGACCTGGCGTCCGGGGGCACTAGGCTATACACCTTGAGGTCGCCTTTGCTCTCCTCCTTTACACTCGCGCTGGAGGGGGGGGGGCAGCCATTGCTGGGGCTCGGGGAGGGATCCCGCGGGTCCTGGCAGTGCGCAGCGTTGAAGTGCTCCAGCAGGGCGGCGGTGTCGCCCGCGGTGAAGCTGCAGTGCCGACACTTGCAGCAGCCATGAACTCTCCTGTTTACGAGAAAATAAAAGAAATTACTGAATGAAAATACTAAGCCTGTAACCAGTGCAAGACAATGGCCAGAACAGACAGAGAATACATGCGGTATCTACCCCTCCCATAAGGCACACGCAGGTCAGCCCTACCCCCTAACCCTTCCTCAGGGCACACAGACACGCAAACACAATTCTGGGACGGCAGCCTGATCCGGTCGCAAAGCAGAATGGTTTCTGTCGCTTTCCAAAGCTTAGAGGATGCAGACAGTAAAACTGAGTGAGAAATCAGGGCAAATAAAACAGACTTAATTCTCTCTCTCTCAAGGGCTTTGGGCAGAAATGAGTGAACAGATCAACCCCCACCCCCCTGCCCACTAGCTGGCCCAGCATAACCCCTGTGTGTGCTGAGGGACACAGGGACAGCGCGGGCTGCCCTCAGGAAAAGCACGTCCACATATCCCCTCTGAGGAGTGACTGTCCTTAGGGGAGCGGGACAGGAGGCGGCCTGCTCCTCCGACAGCTCGCGCCCCAGGAGGACCTGCATCTCAGGAGGCTTCCCTGAGAGACGATGTACCTGCTACACCACGAGCGAGTGTCCCGCACATCACCATCTCCGAAGAGTTTGACGTTTCACCCCCAGAAGCATTTCTCCAAGCTTAGAGTATCATAAAGGATTAATCAACGGGAAAAAGAGGGAAGAAAAAAAAAAAAAACATAGGGAACCCCCCCGGGGGGTGAACGAGGACTGGGATGAGGAACACTAAGACACAGTTGGCCAATCACAGGCATCACGGCATAGGGTGCCCTTGGGTGCACAGTGGTCAGGATGCCAGTTCATCACAGGGCATACACTCCAACACACTGGTGTACAGTACGGGCACCTTAATGGTACCCAAATGTGTGCAAATATACATGGAAACGAGAACAGTGTGATGAGAGAAGATTATTCACACAAGCAGAAAGGAGGCGGGATTCGAACCCCAACTCTGCAGCTGTCAGGCACCATGCCACCTGAGACTATATTCCAATATAGTGAAACTACACTGACATTGTTAACGCGATGTAATGAGGCACACTGTTCTGCCTTGAATGCGAGTAACTTTCCTGTGATGATCTTAGCGGTCGGGCCAAGTTAGGGGACCAAAAGCCTTTGCTAAACACAGACAGAAAGCCAAGCGGTGCCTAGTAATTTAACTTCATCCCAAATGCGCAACTGCATCCAGAACATAATTGAATTTTATTTGTGTTTTTGTGTTCAAACAAGGTCAAAGCTGGAACTCTGTCGTGTTTTTTTCCCCGGCATCAGCAAAGAAAATTGGAGCTTTGCTGCAGATTGATACACTTAACAGTTAGAATTATAATACAGCGCGGAGACGACCACCTGAATGCAACTTAAGCGCGAATAATCTCCACTGCAGAGGTGCCGCCGCTCCAATTCGGCCAGCGAAAATGTTTCATTCAAAGAGCATTGTGTAGCGGAAAAAACCCCAGGGCCCCTCGCAAGCCAGGCTGGTTATTCCAGGCTGTCAACAAGCACAGCAGAAAAGTCAAAAACAGGGGGAAAAAATGCATACAGTAAAACAAGGTTTTCAAGCGAGGTTGATATACAGCTGACTGAAATATGTCACCTGTATAAGTGTAGCAAGTTACACAATCTCCAAAACAAGGACTCCACACATCCCCAAAGTTAAACCCCATAAACAACCCCCCCCCCCCCCCCCCCAATCCACATCTTCTTATCGACTATCTGGGAGTCACTCATCAACTGCCACAGATGGCCCCCAATTCTCCTTTCCTCATCTACTATCAGAAACCGCCCCCCAGTCCACATGCCTCAATACACATACAAACAACCCTCAGCAGCAGAAAGTTCTGGAATAGCGTTCCTGTGGAGATTCACCTTCCACGTTCTAACTTTCCACCAAGCCAATGCTTAACAGCAGGCCACATCCCTCTGTAACCCTGTTTCTTGGTGTGTGGGCACAACTACTTATCAGGATTAGCTCTGGAATCTAGGTAAGAACTTTCCAGACGGGTGCAGACTCGCAAGCAAAGGCACCGCGAACGTGGGGACTGGCTAAAACGCTTTTCCGGAGTAAGGAGACCAGCGATGTTGGAGCGCTGACAGAGGAGGCCACCGTCCCCGCCCAACAAACGGGGCTCTCAGCAACTCCCGAGACCCTCCCCCACCCCCCGACACAGAGGATGCCTCCATGCGTGTGCACAGAGGAAATATATGTCAGCTTCTCAGCACAGGTAGTGACAAGTTTCAAATGTCACCCTGCACACACACGGCACTAGACAGGACCATTCTGAGAGGACAATGACAACCCACCCCGGTGACAGGGTCACGTGATGTCACTGCCGCCAGGGGACCGGGGCTCCCGCAAGGGCAGGCTGCACATCCACACACCTTTCCGCTCAGCATCCGCGACAGTCACTCCCAACCGCAGCTCTGCCGTAAACCCAGCCTGCCCGACACCAGCTACAGGCCTCAGACTGCAGACGCAGCTTGTCATGATGCATCCGTCGTTTCAACCGCGGTCCAAATCGAGCGACACAACCGAAACATTAAACTAGTACAGTAAGACACAAAGCAGTGCCAGACAATTAGAGCAAGGACACACTCTTCACGGTACCACACCATTAGAAATTCCTGTGTCATTTCTCTTTCAGCATATTTATTGGAAATTACGTTGAAAGCTTTTTTTTACCAATTATCAAAATCGCCCTCTACACAGACCGCTTTCATCCCATTCCTCAGTGCAGGAGAGGAAGATCACGGAGGGCGTTCCTGTTAATATCTACAACAGATGACAATAACATTTTCACGCTTCATTTAAACATTAATTGCACATCTGGGTATGGACAAGGGAGAAACCGGTGGAACAGCTCGCTGTAAACACGACAAAAGCTGTAAGAAAACTTATGGACGTCAACACGTGAAGCATTTCCGGCTAAATGGGGATCGATGATCGAAAGCTCGCGATGAAGAATTTCATTGCCCCTATTTGCGTGTCAAGCCGGAATTACTCTCGTGTCTCAGCGCTGCTTTATGGAATACTAATACGATAATATGTTGCAGCGCCCCCTATAGGTCGCGGGAGAGCCTGCAGGTGGATGGGTCCCAGCAGTGACAGAAACCCATTCCTCCATTCAGACCCAACTCTCCTGCATCAGGATCTGCAACTCAATTTGTGAAGAAAACAAATGATTACCAAAGTATCTGAGAAGGATGCACCCAAGGTTCTTCAGGCCCCCATTCACCAAGCCTGTGTGTGCTTGGGCAATACTAAAACACATAAAAATGAGGAGAATGAGGAAAGTTCACACCCACAGCTGGGATAGCAATCTAATCCACATCCCAGGAGATGTGAGACCACAGTATTATCCACTGTAGGGTTCCTTGCAGTATGGGTAGGGATTAGCGCCACGGTTAGTCATATATTACTCAAACAACTAGAAAAATGGATTTGTCACGACACTATAACTATATTTATCTTGTAAAAAAAGGTATTTCTGCAGATACCAAATACATCACGATGTTAACAATGCCAGATGGAAACTAAGAGGAATATACCTTAACCTCACAACACACCCATATGCAATTAGCAGATGTGGTCCCAAGGCCCTGGAGCCAGGGTCGGGGGGTTGGGGGGCATGGCTGGGGCATTGCGGGGCTGGACAGGCATCTGGGAGACGCTCAGCCGGCTGGGGGCCTTAAGGTGGGAGAGCAGGGCACCTAATGACGGCACTACGGTGACCGTGAACACGGAGAAAGCAGCGGTACATCGACCCGACGGAGCCAATGTCTGACAGCCTGGAAGCAGGGAGATGGGGCCCATTAATGGACGAGGTCTTGATACTGGAGTTCAGATGCCACGGACGAATGTGGTCCAGCTGCTGCCTCCCCGGCGTGGACATCAAGAGCGTCGAGAACCGCCCCCATATGACCAGCACAAGTAACAGCACCCGACCCATCAATAGGGGGCACTGAGGAGCTGTAATTTGCAGTACATGAGGGTGGCGGGGGGGCTGTCTGGCTCAGGGAGGTCCAACTGGGACAGCTGACCTGTGAAGACGTGTCACCCGAATTGCCTCTCACACACCCCCCCCCCCCCAACTGATTTATAGATGTCACTGAGGAACCTACAGGAAGCGAGGGGTGGGAGAACTGCCATAAATCCAGGACCTCGAAATCCCATTACCTGGCAGACACCCCCAGGCACCAGGCCCCAACACCGGCCCCAGGCCCCTGGCCCCAACACCGGCCCCAGGCCCCTGGCCCCACCACCGACCCCAGGCCCCTGGCCCCGACCTGCCATGACACTCCCTAGGGATCATCGGCAGGGGTTTTCATTTCAGGACCCCCTGCTGCACACACCGGAGGGACAGGAATATTAAAAGCGTCTCGTCCCTCAGTCAGGGGGGTGCTGTCGGGCACTGAGGAGCGGGAGCCTACAGGGACGGCTGAGCAAGCGATAGCCGCGAGGTGGGGCTGGTGACGAACGCGGGGGGGGTTAGGGTTGGGGGGGGGGCGGTGTATTTATTCACAGGCATAAGTGGGACTGGGTCAAAGATAATAAACCGTTAGCTCACTACCATACATGCGCATGCATTCGCGTGCGTGTATGTGCGTGTATGTGCGTGCGTGCGCGTGTGTGCGCGCGTGTACGTGTATGTGCGTGTGTGTACGTGTATGTGCGTGTACGTGTATGTGCGTGTGTGTA